CACCCTGAAACAATCGAGGAATTTTGATGAAGAGCATCTTTGTGACTTTCTCCCAGTCATCTGAGAAATTTGGTGGCGTTGAATGTCTTCATGACTTGCTCCCAGCCACCAATTGTGACATGCTGAATTTCTTGATGACTTGCTCTAAGACGTAGTCAAGGAATTTTGATGTCGAGTATCTTTGTGACTTGCTCCTGGTCATCTGAGAAATTTTTTTGGTGCTGAGTGTCTTCAAGCCTTTCTCCCAACCACTAGTTGTGACCATGCTGAGCGTCTTGATGACTTGCTGCCAAAGACAATCGAAGAATTTTGATGCCGAGGGTCTTTGTGACTTGCTCCCAATTTATTTGAGGAATTTGTGTCGTATTGAGATTCTTCACATCTTGCTCCCAACCACAAGGAATTTTGACCATGTTGAGTGTCTTGATGACTTGCTCCCTAACACGGTCAAGAAATTTCGATGCCGAGTGCCATTGTGACTTTCTCCCGGTCATCTGAACAGATTGTGAGTATCCAATGACTTGCTCTCGGATCCTTGCTTTAGGGCAGTGTTGAGTGTCTTGGACTTTCTTCCGATCATTGAAACATATTCCTAGTGTCCCAAGACTTACTCCTGGATCCTTGCTTTGGGGTAGTGTCGAGTGTTATTGACTTTTCCCAATTACTAAAACAGATTTCGAGTGTCCTACAACTTGCTCCCAGATCTTTGTACTTTGACTTGCTCCTGACCGCCGAAAAGATTCCGAGTGTCCTATGACTTGCTACACGATCCTTGCCTTGAAAAGGCATCAACTATCTTTTACTTGCTCTCGATTGCCAAAATTTGATAAATATTAGGTGTCTTGCGACTTGCCCATGGATCCTTGCTTTGAAGCGACATTGAGTGTCATTGACTTGCCTTAGATTGCCGAAATTTGATAAATATCGGCTCCCAGATCATCAACTTTTTAGAGGTTGTTGATTGCATCAGGGGCAGTTTTGATATTTTTGAAGAACTTCCCAGGGAGTCGTCCATCCTTGGATTTCTCTTGTGCTAGCATGCTTAACAATCGAGTTCTTCTGAAATTTCTTGAGAACTTCCCCGGAAGTCACCCATGCTAGGGCCGATCTTGTTCAGAGCTTTTTCCATCTCCAATATATGCGGATGACACCTTACTCTTCATTCAAGCAACTAAAGAACAAGTCTAGAATATCCAGCTCTTCCTTACATGTAATGAATTGGTCGCTGGAGCCATGGTTATCATGAACAAGACAAGGCTCTCTTAGGGCTCTTTTAGGTAGTAGTTGTTCTGAGAGTGAAGCATGGGCTGATTGGTTGGAGTGTGGGGTTGACTCACTACCTACTAACTGCTTACGTATTCCATTGTCTGATGGTAGATTGCCTCGAGCAGAGTCGGACCCTATAGTGCAAATATTTCAACACAAGCTTGATGGGTTGAAGACCAGATACCTCTCTTTTGGTGGATCTATCGCTCTCACCAAGGCTACACTTTCCAATCTCCTAATCTATTATCTATCCTTATTTAAAGCCCCGGTCTGTGTACTAAAAAGATTAGAAGCTATGATGAGAAATTTCCTCTAGAATGGCTCTCAAAACCAAAAGAAATTCCACCTGGTCAAGTGGAGCGTAGCGTGCTTGCCAAAAGAGATGGTTGATTGGGCTTTTACAAATTGAGATAAATAGATGGGGCCCTCCTTGCCAAGTTGTGGTGGAGACTTACTAATCATAATGGCTTTGGGGGGGAGATTATCCTTCATAAATATGGAAGAGACCAGAGTAGATTCATTACTAAACAACTCCCCAAAAATGCCTCGACCTCAATAGTGTGGAAAGATATTGTTGAATCAATGAGAACCCTCTTCAGAGTATTGGTTGGGGATGGGAGTAGGACTAAGTTATGGTCCACTAAGTAGATTGGAAATAACCTGTTCAAGACTCAATTTCCAAAAATTTATCAGAGGTCCAAGCAGAAGAATGATATAGTTAGATCTATGGTGAGGTGGTTTGGGATGTTAAATTGGATGTCAGATGCGTATATTAGGTAAGTATGACTAGTTAATGGCTATGTTATAGCGGTTTCGGACCTTGAACCAAGTGGTACATTCTCAGTTAGATCTTTTTACTCAGAAATCTAGAGGGATCAATTTGTCTAAGATAATTGAGCATTACACAAATATTGGAGTTGCAAGGTTCCACACAGCGTGAGAGGCTTTTTGTGACTTCTAGGTCAAAATAGGACGTTAGCCATTGATCAACTTAAGACAAGAGGAAAGATTCTTATTACTGTGCAAAAGTGAAGAAGAGACTAATGATCATAACTTTATACACTGCCCATTTGCAAGAGAGCTCTAGGGCTAGGTCCATAGAAAGTCCCATTGATACGAGGTCCAACCCCAAGATGTTGGAAACCTGTTGGAGCAAGGGCGGTCCCCACTATTTACTGGCCATGGTTGAGTCCTATGGAGGATCCTTGGGGGAATTTATGGAAGGAAAGGATTAGAGTTTTTTAAGGCAAATCTAGTGAAGTGGCCTAGATACGTACATTTATAGCGTCGTCCTTCACTTTGTGGGCATAGACACATCCCGCTTTTAAAGATATACCCAAGGAATTCCTTGTGTACAAACTGAAATAGTTGTTTCCTAAAAAGCACAGAATTATAAGATCACCAAATTGGTAGCCGCCACTAGAATCTTGGGTCAAACTTTACTTTGACGGCAGTGTTAAAGATGGCGAACGGATAGTGGGATATGGAGGCTTGTTGGGAGACCCTAATGGGGCTATTATTTAGACCTATCAGGGTCGGTTGCACCGGATTAATGAAGCCTACAATTTTGGCATTATTAAATTGGATCAAACTTATAATGAGTCCTTTGTGGAAGGAGACTTGTACGCTATGGCTATAGAGTGCTATTATGGATGAGACCTTACATGGTTCATGTCTATGGGGAACATGCTAAAAAGCATGCTGAAATTAGGTCACCACCTTCATGATCCATGGACTTTGTCGAGGTTATAGTCACTTCTACCCCTCGTTCTTTCTTCATGTATATCTTTTTTCTTATTATTATTTTTTTTTTCTTTTCTTTGTAATTCACTTCCATTCTCTCAATGAAATAATGTTAAAGGAAAAGTCTTTCCAACGTCTATAGGCAAAATGAACAGTGATTTCGTCTACCCTCATCATCGTCCAAAGTTCATCGCACGATCACGATTGTCCGGTAGTGTTTCATTTTTTTTTCTGCAAATCAGAATAACTTGAAATTTGGAGCGTATGTACATCTTAATAAAGCACACCTAATAAAAATATAAAAAATAATAATTTATAAAAAATATATTGACTAAAATATCCCTGAAAAGTTTTGAGGGTATTTTGATCAATTTTTTCATGTAAAATATTTTTTTTTATATTTTTAATAGATTTTTCTATTTTGATGAACACACACTCCAAATTTCAAGTCATTCCAATTTGTAGAAAAAAAATGAAAAATGAAACACTATCAGACAATCATGACCGTACGATGAACTTTGAACGATTATAGGAGTAGACAAAATCACTGTTCATTTTCGCCTATATGTGTTTTGTAGTATCTTTCATTGTTAAAAGTTCAGGAAAAAAAGAAACACATTTTCCTGGAAAAGAAGTACCCTAAATAAACGTAGGATAATAGGTAAACAGCAGCCTATAAAAAAAAAAATGCATCATCGTCATGGAATAAGACCTTTATTTCGTTTGGATTATTTCTCTTTCGCAAGAATCTCTCCCAAAGCTTTCCTCATTTATAAGTTTTCCTTGCAAACATTGTAATGAGATAAATAACTAATTTTATGAGTTTCTTTTATTTTTATTTAAAGCAATGAATAATCCAGAATTTTGACTACAAGTTTCTATTATTTAATACAAGTTATGCCTACACAGTATAGGAAATTGAAATTCTTTTGGGATTCAAATCTACCAAATAAAGTCCTCCTAAATCAGGGTTCACGCATGATGTACGAAAAAACGGACATATGGAGCCGTCTAACTGACATATGGAGCCATGTTCCACTTACCATCCAGCCATCCATTTTTTATCAAGAAAACCACTCACCGTTTGATCTTAGATCTGACGTCTCAAAATATTCTATTTTTAGTTTTTTTAATACAAATTTTTTAATATGAAATTTGATATATGCCATCTTCTCATTGGGACGCACCTATAAAAAATATTAACAATAATTTTTGGATAAAAAATAATGACCAAAATACACCTTCAAGCTTTTAAGGGTATTTTAATCATTTTATTTTATTGAAAATATTTTTTTTATATTTTTCCTTAGTACGAGTTTAATAGAAAAATAGACGTCCAAATTTTGGTGCCAAAATAGTTCACAGAAAGAACGAAAAACAGTGTAAAGACGTGACATTGTGACTGGGGCAATCTTAGCCCTCCATTTAAAAATAGAGGGTTGGATACAAGGAACATAAAACTTCCCTGGTCTAGGGAGAAAGAACATAGAAAGCTTTCCCCTAACTAAAGCTTTAAGTTCATTAGTCGTTATTAAAGTGATTATCATAAGCCTACTAATTAATAAGAATAACAGCCTATTAGCTTTTTTTATTTTTTTTGAAGATCTCATAGCTTATTAGTTTGCTATAAGACCCGTATCCCAGAAGAAACGCAATATTTTCACGCGTGTAACATTGTTAAAACCACAACAAAAGAAACATAATTTCCATAAACCAGTTTTCGAACCTGTGGTTCCGAGCCACTTCCAATTCATTAATTCATAATCCAGATTCCTAACTTCCTGGGGGCTCTTTTTGTATTCAAATATAACAGAATAAAATAATATAAAAACTCGTGAAAACCATGCATAACCAAGAGTGATTCCGAGTCAACTCAACAATTTTCAAAACACATTCATTTGGCAGAATTGTAGCAGGCAACTACTCCTCGATTCCCAAACCACCCATATTACGAAGATTAACATACCAGAGATACCAAGATGGGCCTCGAATTACCAATAAACTGCTGTAATTAGGATAGGAAAGACCAGATGGGCCTCCAATTACCAATAAACAGCTGTAATTAGGATAGGAAAGACCACTGCCACTACGTTCAAAGCAGTATGCATAGCGAGGTTCGGCTTAGTAAATATGAATTTTTGGGACCAACTAGGGTAACGATTCCCAGATTTTCAAGGAAACACTCAAAGACTGCCGAAAAATCCAAATCCCTGACACAATGTTTATGCCTTTACAGAGACATCACAGCAGCTTATACAGGAAGCAGATCTTCAACAAGACGTCTCGTCATGATAAAGCCAGACCAGAAAATTATACACAAACACGAAACACCAAATATCAACGCAAAAGTTCATTCAAGATTCCATAATAATTGAATAAACAGGACGTGAACCATCCACAGGTGTCCTGCTCACCCATAAGGCTAGGCTAGGTACATCAGTGTGCACTCACAAGGAAAGGATGCTGGCACACACCACACTCTACGGTCTCGGATCCAGAGCTTGGAACTTGGACCTAAGCAACCACAGCAGATACAGATGAGCTGCTCTACACGAAAGAGCGAAAAGTAGGAAAACGTAAGGCATTAAGGTATTTCACCTGCAAATGTACTGTACATGTGGGACAGGCAACTTCTCTCATCCTCCTAGTGGATCCATCAGAGGATAGCTTTGCATGACCTGAAAAACATGTTCCCCTCATCATTGATGTAGCCCAACTTACAGAAGCAATACCATTGTATTTAACTCTTGTTGAAGCTTACCAGATGAAGCTGCCGTGCGATTTCTGTCAATTTCCTCCTGTAAAAAGAAGTAATTAGTTCTACAGGGGTCTTATTAGAATATACATAAATACTAGAGAACTTGAGATAGATGAAACTTAGTAAATGGAATGTCACAGGTCGATCATAAAAACTGCGTAGGGATCTTGTTTAGTACAGACAAGGCCCAGATGCTGTCAAAACAATATTTCTTCAGAAAGTTTAGCACAGTCACACCTGTACACAAATTAATTTGGAATAATATGACCTTTCAAATAATCAAATTAATGCAATAAGATAAAAGCCCCTCTGCAAACACTGGCTATGCCTCTTTGATGCAACCTCAGACCCCAATGCTATGATGGCTCTTTGTTGCCAGACCACTAGTGCTGGAACCATTTGGTGCCCTAGATTCAGATAAACCCTCCCAACAAGGAACACTCGCAACTACTCGACATGTTGCAATCTTTACAACTCTAATTACCTGGTATAGACAAGGATATAGTCATCTGGACCCCTCCCATTCAACATAAAGTCAACTCCTTGACATGTTTCGATTTCCTCCTACCACACCATCGAAGCCCACTCCACAAACCCCAACAATCCACAGAAAATGGTGGCTCACGTCCATCCCCTCAATTACATGCTCTAAACTGGCTAGTCAGCTCCAACAGAACACTTAACGGTGGAGGAGTTACAAAGAAGGGGTTCCAGCATACCTCATAAATGCTCGCTGGGCAAGGAAGCCAAAACAACCCATGACCATCATTTCATCCACTGTCCACTAGATGGATCTTTATGAGCGCACCTTCCTACAGTCCTTCCAGGAGCCTTGGATGACACTGAACACAAACCAACAGCTCTTTTATGCCGCCTTCTCTCCTCCATCTGCCACAGGCCTATTCCTGAAGAGGGTTTCGCTTCTAGCCACCATATGGACTATTGGGGGATAAATAAAGAAAAGAAACTCTGCTATATTTTCAGGGAGGTTCAAGTGGAAGTCAGTCTTATGACAAGGGAGGCCAACACAGTAGCAGATAGCCTTGCCAATTAAGGAGCATCCTAGTGCACTCAGCAAATACACAAGGTAGACTAGAAGCACCACTTTTCTCCTTTGTCTTGTTTATTATCTCTCACACCCATCTTTTCCTTTTTCTTATCTCTATCACTTCTCCCACCCCATTCTTCTTATGCTTCCCCTGTTATCTGTGTAGATTTTTTGCAACAGCCCACACGTTGTAGGCTGAACCTCTTTTTTGCAACAGCCTATACGTGATATGGATGGCTTGACCAGAATAATCAACTAATGGTACCAAACTAAGTCTGGCAAGAAAAAGCAAAAATTCCCAGGAAGTTTTGAGTATCTAGGCTAACTCAACTGAGAACAGTCTATCGCATGCAAATTCTGAGGAAACATTCGTCAGCTGTTTTTTCAAATTTCCTTCCAATCTTATATCAGTGTCGGGGAATAAATATACAAATCCAATGTCAGATGCAGATGCAAGGCGCGTGCTGGGTTTGGCCCGAGAAGGCCTAGCCTTGGATGCAAGCTCAAGGCAGTATGACAGTTGCCCCGAGGTGTGGCTCGAGTGGAAGGACCACGAGCCTTTAGGTGTGTGCGAGAGGTGGAGGCTCCAGGATCTCCTCCTCGATGTGTCGAGCCTCTAGGCATAGAGGTTCGGGGTGGTGAAGGAGTATGGGAGCTGGCCATGCGGCGACCCTCAGGAGCGATGGCAACTTGCTTGCCTTTCGCCAAAGCGGACAGGGCAGCCTTTTGGCTTACCTTAACAATGTGACTAGCAAGGGACTTGCCAGTAGCAGGGTGCGTGCTGTGGGAGGTAGCAAACATGCTCCCAAAGCGAAGGCCTTAGTGGAGGGTCTACCAGGACTAGTAAGTGGGGAGTTAGGGACCTTCAAGTCACTTATTGCATCAATCCAGGAAAGAACCTGGGAACTGGACTGTGAAACCTGACTCAAAAGAAGTGTAAGGAACAAGGCTTGAGAAACTCGCTTCCTTGGGACGGTCACGAGTGCGGGGATGAGAAAATTCCCAACTCGAATGAACAGGTTGAATATCCCAAATGCCATGGAATGCAGTGCAAAAAATAAAAGGTGATGCCGTTCAAGCAAGAGCGAATCGTGGAGTCGCCAAACTGATCGGATGCCTCGATCTCGCCCCCCGGATCTAGATGATCGGGTGCACGTGATCGCTCTCTTGGGAACCTTGCTTACAGAACAAAGGCAAGTGCCCAACTGGTGAGAGAGGAATTTTATTCGTGAAGTGGGGACCAACCTCACCTGGGTCCATGACTTACTCGGGCTGACTCGCACGGGCGCCCTCTTAGATCACGACGGAAAGCCCCCTAGTTGCTTCAACTGGTTCTGAATCGCCTCCCTTGATCTGCAATCACCTTGTTTTCTCTGTACAGCACTAACATGGTTAATTTGCAGCACAAGTGGGTCGAGGGACCCACACGCAGCGAAGGGGTGAGCAGTGAACTGCAGACGGCGTTGGCTATCTTCGTCGGTGACATGGGAAGGCAGCAACGATCCTTCGCAGGCGGCGATAGGTATTGTCGTCTGCGATAGGCACAGAGCGCAAAAGAGAGGCCCGCAGGCGGCGGTAACCATCGCCATCTGCGATAGACGCGGCGCATGGTTGAGACCCCCACGGGCGACGATAAGCATCACCGTTGGTGATAGGCATTGGGCGCCGAGTGTCCACGGACGACAATAACTATCGCCGTTTGCGCTTGCGCAAGACGTCGAAGACACGCCTGCGGACGGCGGTGAGCAGCCGTCTGTGACCCGTGAGACGAAAGAAATATAGTTCACAGTCGGCAATACATCGTCGCGCGTGGCACCAATCCTGGAACCGAAACAGGAGCCCGACCCGCTACTTGAGTACAGCCCGGCTCACTGTGTGCTCCTTCAGACGGCGTCACGCGTAGCAACGACTAATGTCGTGCATGAACTACATTGAGGGAAAGAAAAGAACGAAGAGAGACGGCAGAAAGAGGCATGCACGACACTACCACTGCCGTGCATGGCCTTTGAGAAAAACTCAGCAGAGAAGAAGAATACAGACGAAGAAGCAGAAAGAGAAGAAGAGAAAAAGAAAACCGAAGAGAGAGAAGGGAAGAGAGAGAAAATACCTTGAAGATAGATCCGCTCTAAACTTTCTCTCTCCTCTCTCTCTCTCTCTCTCTTCAAGGCATGCTCAAGAGAACTCAAGAAGAAAGCCTTAATTTTTATTGATCAAAGGTTGAATCCTTGTACAACGATTTTCAGCCAAAGTTTTTCTCCTCCCCCCTTTTTCAATGAGAGGTAGCGTCTATTTATAGACTAGGGCTAAAACATGGGTGGATTACCAAAAACTAACCCTAATTGGGGATAATTACAATTTATTTGAATTAAAAAAAAGAAAAAAATAATGTGCAAAATGACTGATTTGCCCCCTATCTAACAATTGGGGAAATTTCAAAACAGTCCCTGCTGAGAACTAGGGACGTTCTTGATTCTTCTCGAATGATCCATTGACGATCTGTCATCCGAACGAACAAAAGATGATTGCCATCGTGCAGGGCTCAATGGTATAATCATTTTGATAATAATTTTAAGCCACGAATCACACTTTAAAGGCATGATCACATAACTTGAAATTTGAATAGATCTTAAAAACTTTTGATTGATAGTGCGTCTTCATCTTGATGTTTTTCTTCGATTTCTTTGCTGAATTGCATTGAGCATGTTACCACGATCGCGTTGCGACAAACGGGAGGCGATTTGGTTCCCGAACGAAGGTTTGACAATCTTGAACTTTTGACTGGAGTTAAAGAATTCCTGCAGCCGGAATCTGCGGTGACATCTTGTGCGAAATCCTCAATCTCTAACCTTATTTCTGAGAATCGAAAGTACTTTTTGTGGATTGAAAAAGTTTTCTTTTCTCATTGAAATTATTTTTAGGGTGCTATTGGTGGCATTAGAAGAATTTTGAGTTGATTCGTAGCTCGATTGAGGTAACCAACATTGAAGATCAGAGATTGGGCAGAAAAGGTCAATCTGTAATCTTTGTTTGAGTTTTATTTTTCCAATTTGATGTCTTTTGCGGGGTCTAGTAGGGGTGGAGATCGAGGATAGAAATATTGTGTTAACCTTAATAAGAATGACAGGAATAAAATTATGAGCAATTTATGTAGACATGTTTCTAATGCCGACATAAATAGATTTAAGAAACATGTTGCCGGTATTAGAGGTAATGTTGCCTCATGTAAGAAAGTCTCAGATCTTGTAAAGAAACAAATTTGTGAATACATTGAAGGTGAAAAGAGTAAAAAAAATGCCAAAAAAATGATAATAGCAGAATTAAAATCAAGGGTCCATGTTTTTTATGATAATATTGACACTTAAGAAGAAGATGAAGAGGGGAAGAAGAGGTAGCCATGGTTGTTACTCAGAGCTCTAAGAACAAGCGGGCTTTTGGGTCTAAGAAGCCTCGTATGAGAGGGCCTATAGCTAGTTTTTTTACACCTAGCCCTGAGACGGTAACTGAGAAAGGCAAGGGAGGAAAGGGGAAAAAAACAAGTGACAATTGAAAATAGATTTAAAAAAGAAGATAGAGGCGGGGTGATTCAGTATATTGCTCGGTGGTTTTACCATGCGGGCATTTCTTTTAACACTGCTCGCTTGAATAGCTTCCATACAATGTTGGAAGCAATTGGGCAATTTGGGCCAGGTTTAAAAGCTGCAACTCCTTATGAGATTGGAGAGCCATTACTGAAGAAAGAAATCGAGTATACTAACGAATATCTCAAGACCCATAAAGAGGGATGGGCTAAATTTGGGGTTTCTTTAATGACAGATATGTGGTGTGATAAGACGATAACGAGTAATATGAATTTGTTAGTAATTTAGATTTTGTTTGAGATGGTATTCTACTATTTTACATGATGGTTGGAGGAATGTGAAGTTACATGATGGTTGGGAAGGCTGAGGGCAAGGGGCAAGGAAAGTGTAGAGTCAGGGGTCGAGGAAACTATTGAAAAACTGGCCAAGAGCAAGGGTGAAGAGGAGGCAGAGGCTGGGGAGTAAGGCCAAGCGGGGGGAGGGAGGGGGTTGAAGAGAACAAGGCCAAAAAGGGGGATTGGGAGAAGAGGAAGAGGGGCAGGGGGTTGAGGGGGAGTGAAGAGAGGAGGGGAGTAGTAAGACTGCGGGTTGGGTAGAGAAGGATAAGGGGAAAGCTGAACAGGGAGAGGTAAGGGGACGAGGGGATCCAAGGGTATCACGTAAGGGTGAGAGGGTAAGGAGGCCAAGTCTACCGGGGCCAGGAGGGAGGCACAAGGGTCACCAAGTGGCAACGGAGTAGGAGTAGATACAATCCTAACCTTGCAGATGGGGATCAGAGTGGGGTGGTAAGGAAGATAGGGGGCTAGTGAGGATGCAAGGACCTCAAGGTCCAGAGGGGTGGGGTCATCAGATTCGACCGCCACAATCCCAACTAGAAACAGTGGCCACTTCATAGAACCGGTAGATTGAGATGAGGTTAGGGGGAGCTTCGCAGGGGATTGACGGACCAGTGGTGGCAGGGGGTCAAGGGGACCTAACAGAGGGGACACAGGGGGAGGGGGATCAAGGGGTGGAGATAAGGGGCGAGAACAAGGTGGAGGAGCAGCCGAGGGGAGGTCGGGGAAAGGGTAAGGAGAAGCGTGGAGTGAAAGAAGCAAGAAGAGGGGCTTCGTCAAAGGAAGGGTGAGAGGGGGGAGGGGATTGTGGCGAGAGAAGGCTGGCGGAGGAAAGGTGGGGAGAGGAGAAGCTGGTTGGAGGAAGAGTGGTCGAGGGAAGAGGTGAAGACAGAGGGGAAAAGGATGGAGAGGGATTAGAGGGGACGTTGAGAATATCAAGAGAATATCGAGGGGGTAATGAGAAGGTGGGGACGCATGTCCCCGAAAGAGTTTGAAGGAGAAGTAGGGGAAGACGCAAATGGAGGGCCTTCCGAGGCAGAGGGAGTAGGGGTAACAGGTGTAGGTGGGGGAGGGGGGTGGGTGGGGGAGGTAGCCGGCGAGGGGCGATGAGATGACCATCTCCGATAACCGAAGGGTTTGGAACCCTTCCTTTAGACGCCCCCTCTCAGATACTGAAATATCAGACTTTCTCTCTTTGCCCTCTTTACTGCACTCAACCTTCCTCACCCTATCCGATGCCGATAGCCTGGTGTGGAGCCCTTCCCCTTCGGCGTCTTTCTAGGTTGCCTCCTCCTACCAAAAACTCTTGCAATCGCCCACCTCTCCCTACTTTCCGACCTCAGCGGTCTCTAAGGTGTGGTCTTCGATAGCTCCACCAAAAGCACAAGCGTTCAATTGGATAGCGTACTGTAAAAAAGCTCTCACAGTGGACCAAGTCCAACGGAGGAGAATTCCGATTCCTAATCGTTGCGTCATGTGCCTTTGCGAAGAAGAGTACAACCCTAACCTTTTCATCCATTGCAACCTAGCCCTCAACCTATGGAGTAGAATACTTTTCGGCCTTTACTAGGTAACTCCTGCTTCCCTACCAACCCTCCTTAAATTCTCAATGGACTCTCCATGGCCAAACGCGGGCAGGCTTTTGTGGTGGGCCTCCATAGCGGCAACGATTGGGGTCATATGGACCGAGAGAAACTCAAGGATATTCCGAGGAATCAAGTGCAAAGTTTTAGCACTTTTCAACAAAATTACCTCCTAGGTCATTTTTTTTGGCTTCTAACCACAAGGAATTTAAACGCATTTCGACTTCGACTTTCTTGCAAAATTGGGAAGAAGTCCTACAATTATGTTCCCCTCGGATATCACGAGCGAACAACTGGTCCCCCCCACCAGCAGGCCTTACAAAACTCAATTTTAACGGGGTGTTCCCTAGGTAACCCTGGACCAATAGGAGTGGGTGGTCTTCAGAGACCACCACAGCAACATCCTGGCCTCTTTTTCCATGAACATTGGCCACACCGAGTCTATGGCATTCCTTTCGAGACTCAAATTGTTTGACCATGCGTGGGCTCAACCATTGATGGTTGAAGGAGATGCCCAAAATATTATCACATGGGCTGCCGGACTTGCTCCTCCCCCCTTGTACCTTGCATCGATTTATGATGAGACAATGCATATTTGCAAGGATACAGTTGTCTTATGGACGCATATTTGGAGGACGTCAAATGCCTTGGCAGACCAACTGGCTAAGGAGGACGCACTCTCAAGCTCATGAGAGACTGGAGTTTTTGGCTCACTGTTGTTCTTCGAGCTTTTCAGGATGTTTTGAACTATGTGGATCATCGGTTTCTTCTTGTAAATCCTTTGTGATGGGCATTACTCATAAGCCCCACCCATTTTTTGTACAAGGCCTCCCCTCTCGAGGAGCCTAATATTTTTTGCCGAGAGCCCCGGTCAGTGTGTCTCGGCGGACCACTGTATTACTTCACTCTTTTTCAATACAACAGTTAACAAAAAAAAAAATTAAATACTAACAATAGGCAAATAAAATAAAATGGTGAACATCAAACTAAACTAAAAACAATCTAAAAAGCCAGATAAGATGAAAAAAAATACATAAAACATGGATTTAGGAAAACTTGATTTACAGTTGGAGACATTTCATAAAAGTACAAAAAAAAAAAAAGAGAGGAAACTATAAAAATAGGACATAGGACAAGAAAGTCTCACAAATCATTGTTAAAAAAATCCAAATTACATGTAAAATATTTATACCTCAATTCAACCATTTAAGTACTTTTTGGTATACAAAGGAATAAAGCCCCTAGCCAGATGGTTTCCATGGGCCCTTTTTCATGAGACAAAGAAGTGTTCAAGAAATACTTAAATTATGTAATAATAATATCTATAGCTCCCCTTCACTCCCATGGTTGGGAAGTGGAGTTGAGACAAACTGCAATTGCAAGAAATCATTGCAAAAGTATTATCGTGAAGAATCAAGGTAGTGATTCTCTCATTGAATCCAAGCAAGCAAGCTTTGTTCAATAGAAACTATTTAATGGACTTCAGAAGCAATTTTCAAATAGACCTGGGGACAGTGTTATATGGACACACTAACATGGGTGCCGCGCCTAGTACTTGGCCCAAAAAGTAAGTACGGCCCAACACGTTTGTACAATTTTTTTTTTTTACATATGAATATAATACATACATAAATTATAAAAAAATAAAAATAAAAATTGAAAATAAGATAATATATACTCTTGAGTCCACACCAGAAACATCCAAAAAAGGGCCCATGTGGGACTACACGAATACACATATCATGATGATCTTTCTTGCCCTTTGATGCTTTGCAGTTTGTACAATAAATTCACAAATAAATTGCAAACAGTTAGACCTTTATAGCTATTATTAATATAATCATCGATAAAATATACAGCTGTCATTGATGGTCCAGATGGATATCGCTTTTAATGTGAACTTCAAATAAATATGAAGGGAACATCTGCCTAAATCAGTGAGGACACACCATGTCTGTTGCTAAGACACGTTTTGTATAAATACCGACATGGCTTGTCAAGACAAGTAATTTCAGACATACAGATTACGTGTCGGACACGTCTAAACATGTCGGAATGCATTTTGAGATGAGCTAAATTGAGGTAACACTGCTTGGTGAAGGCTTAAGATCAGTAGAGTTGGGATTTCTTGGAATGCATTTTGAGATGAGGTCGTTATAGAAATTGATTGATCCAATGGATGTCAGCAAGTTTCTTAAGTCTCAACCATGAGCTTCATAATCAAAATACATGGTTCCAATTAAGTATCAGACATGCATGGAAGTATTGCGACATTGATAATGTCATTAGCAGTTAATCCATGTTAAAAGAGTCTATGTATTGTGAAGAGTGTCACATTTCTTATTAGGTTTGACACCTCTAAAATATACAACCAACATGGTGAATGGCCACGGGTATAAAAAGATGCCACAAAAGAAATACAGAACATTTAAGCCTAGTGGTCATTAGTCCAGCTTTCTTCACATGATGCCTTCCAGCAAAAGGGAAAACAAGCAAATGTACTCAGAAGTCAAAGAGAATCTAAAGTTATGTTTTTGACAAGAAATGAATATGATGGATAATGTTAAAACAAATTATTTTCTGGTCTAGACCAGACTTCTCGTAGAAGAACTAATCATACCGCGATGTATTTCTAGGAAACAAATGCAAATGAAATAAATATAACCTGCAGAAAGTATGCAGGGTCAACCTAAACACACAGAATCTTTCCCAGGGGAATAGGAGGTCAACAGGAAAACATCACCAGTACCAGTGCAAGTAAGAATAACATCTTAAGCTATTCAATTGAGTACACATGAGCAGTCTACCTGAAGCTTCTTGGCAAGGTCTTCATGGCTGTGCTGCCCAACAGGTTTACTAGTGGCTTCCTTAGTATTGCTCAGCCTTTGAGACACTTCTGCCTGTGAGAAAATAATATGAGAGAGTTCTGTTGAAAGTCCAAAGCATTTCCAACCTATGCATTTAATGAATAATAAATTGGAAATCCACAAAGAACTAAAAACCTGACAAAGTAAATATGTGCAAAAAGTATCTGCTTTCACTTAATATGCATGAACACATCGTGAAACACATTTAAATATGAGATCTAGGACAGATGCATGATCAATTCTGGCAAATTTCTAGAGAAAAGAAGTACACCATGCAATCACATAACAGCAGAAAAGAAACAGTATGATACTTTCAGTTAAGGTGTCGCACAAGAGGGATAACAGAAACCATGAATACATGATCATTGAATGGCGCAGGAACTCCATGACAAGGTTTTGTGATCATGCACAGTTGAAGCTAAAGACATTCAGTTACAAATCTCATAACCAGTCCGGCCCCAGTTCGGCGTGAAGAAGTCTTTATACATCCATGGTGGCAAGAGAGAGAGAGAGAGAGAGGGAGAGAACTACAAAAAATCTCATAAAGATACGCATAAGTTCTCAGACTTGTCTGAAGAAAATAGTAGTTTGCCTGCTCACAGCTGGGTAACGACTTCTTCAACTACCGGGTCAGGCCGGCTCGTTCATGACAGTTAATATAGGAAATATTATAAGGCATGACTTAGAAATCTCAGTTCTTCTAAAAATATATCAGTATATCCAACAATTAAACTGAAAGACCAACCACGCAGTGGATTTTCTCATTGAACTACACATGGCAAAATTTTCTACATTTGAAGTCAACCATCAACTTCAGAGACTCATATTTTTAGCAAATACTCTTCTTATGGATTAAACCAAAAACCAAGTTCCCGAATCGTATACTACCAAGTCAGTGAGAAACACAGATTCATTGGAGTCCAATTTTCAGAAACACGGCTCGGCCATGCAACTTGGACTGTGACCAGTCCATGTTACTCAGGCAAATCCAAGTTCACTAGAGTGAGCCCCCAAATCACCCAAACAGCCCAAAATATGGAAAAACTAGTGAAAAATTAGTAAAAATAGGAAAAACATTAAAAGTATATAAAATATGGATTATATGAATTAAAGTTTAAAAAAAGAAATATACCTAAGAAAACCAATGATATGAAACTTAGATTAAAATTTCGAAGCTGTCGAAGCTGATCCCCAAATCTATGTGCTCAGTGCGAATCAATGACTCAAATCCTCATCAAATCTTAGAAAATCCCAATCAAAACCAAATCAGATTTGGGTGAAGAGAGTTCAGATCTAGTTGATCTGAGTCTTCAAATTTTCCAATGAATAGAAAATCTAAGTCTAGAATCTCACATATCTGAATTTTTGTGTTATTTTAATGAAAAACAAATCTATAACTGAATCATCATCGTCAAAGCCTTTTTCCCAACTAATCGGGGTCGGCTACACGAATCATAGTCTGCCATTGTGAAAGTCTATGACTGAATGAATAACACAAAGATAGGGTTGGGGAATAAATTTTATCACACGAATCCTGATCTGCTGTTCTGCAAGTCCATATGACTGAATGAATAACATAAAGATAGGGAGGGTTGGGGAATAAATTTTATCAAAGATCGACCAACCGTTGCAAAGAAACCACAACTTTTTGGAACAGGGTAAAACCTAGGTCAATTTTTCAGTCTCTCAAATCCATCAAATTTGATTGTTTTGTCTATCTAGTGGATAGATAATAAAAAATGAGCCTATGGGCGAAATTTAGGCTCAGAAAGGTGTTTTTAGTAAAACAAAAAACGAAACAAAAAATATTGGAAAAGATAAATATTTTTTATAAGACCAAGAATTGGGGGTGTTCCGAATTTGGCAGCTTGCCAACTCCGAGAAACTCAGATGAGAATCCAAGTCAACTTGCCCGAGCTGGCAAACACTGTTGGAGTCAAATGTCTCAGGAAGGCCATGACAAGAGTCGGAAGCAACTTAAGAAAGTCAGCAAGTCAGACTGCTAGTTGTATTCGATCATTATGCAAAAATACAAACATGTAAGTTGTGGATCATATCTTATGTGTTTATTTTCATTCAATGGACATGTTTTGGGATATCCAAAACTGTGGGTCGTTGAATTAGAAACCCAAACAAATGCAGGGCAACAAGACCTACAATCACTATGATAGAAACATTGTTTTACCCAAACTGGCTAACTAACTACTTTAAGCATGCAGAGAAGACAAAGGACGAGTTTCAAACACCGCAGTGCGGTGTTGACGCAACAGTAGTTGCTGAGGTAAACAGGTGCCCATTCAGGCATACTGTGTAACTTAAAAAATGAGCCTAAAGCCCTAAACACTAAAAGGATGTAACTTGACACAGAACATAATATCCCAACAACAGCCGATAAGCCCAAATGGTAACAATCCCACGGCTGCTCACAGCAAGAAGAACCATTAAATGAACAGACACCCAGAAATAGTCCCAACATCAATATGATCTTGGTAACCCATACATTTTCACATAATCTGAAAATAGAAATAATTAAAAAGCACCACCACCTAAGAGAAGGTTCTACTTTAAACAATCCAATAAAGAGAAATAACTTATCAGCACCACCAACAGAAATAACGTAACACCACCACCAACTAAGTGCTGATTAACTAGGCACTAGTAAGAACCACCAACTAAGTAAAGTGCTGATTAACTAGGTACTAGGTAAAGTGCTGATTAACTAGGTACAGCAAGAGGAACCATCAAATGACCAGACACACCCAGAAATAGTCCCAACATCAATATGATCTTGGTAACCCATACACTTTCACATAATCTGAAAATAGAAATAATTAAAAAGCACCACCACCTAGGAGAAGGTTCTACTTAAAACAATCCAATAAATAGAAATAACTTATCAGCACCACCAACAGAAATAACGTAACAGCACCACCAAGTAAAGTGCTGATTAACTAGGTACTAGTATGGCCACCTTGACCATTAGTAGAATACAAGTAACAGGTTTATCCATTTTCTCAAAACCAGACTGGCCATAGAACCAGGAAAGTGCCTGGTCCAGTTCAATTAGTGGTTCAACCTGTCATCAAACCAGTTGAACCAATAAAAATGGGCCAAAACCCTATAACATATTATGAAATTTACAAAATCACATGTATTTTTAATATCCAAATTTTTCGCAGACTGAACTAGTTGAACCAGCCAACCAGCCAGTCTGGTCTGGTTCTGATAAAACTGGTTGAATTGAAATAATGTCTGTACTTCTTCAATCACTGTCCAATTGTCTAGAATCTAAAATGTAACAACAACATCATGAACCAGATGTTATCTTCCTTTTTACGAGGGAAGTGAACCAGATGTCATCTTCAATGAAAAGATTTATGGACTAGTAACTAAAGGCCATTCAAGAATTCATGAATTTATCATGGTAAATGAATTCTATAACAATCAATAGTCATATTTTTGTACAAAACCTCTTGGAAACTCAAAACTCAAAACATACAGACAATTAGGCAATGGGTATCAAGACAGACACTCTTCAACCTCATCAAATGATCCTTAAAAGTGAGAAATGAAGAAATCCTACCAAGCATCTATCACACACACGGACCGGTTGGGCTTGCTCATCTGCAGTGAGCGCAATTCTACCATGGGTGCATTTATCACAAAATATATCTCCACAGTTCCTACAGTGATGCTGAAAATGACGAAAAAAGAGGTTAATACACCAAAAAGCATAATACAAAAAATAATGAAGTTCTCAATTATCTAAAAAACGATAAGTTAGAGACAACCTTCCGAACAAAAGCTCCAAAGTCTGCTCCACATGCTGTGCACTTAGAGACAGCTTCATCAGGGACCTGAAACCAAAGAAAATACATTTAGAAGATCTTAAATACTAAAGTTAAAAAAAAACAACCACGCAATCCAGTTACAAACATTCAAAAGGAGATTATCATATTTCCAAGAAGTCATTCACCAAATCTGGCTTCTTACATATCCATTTGGGCATGAACCTTTATAAACTCAGTTTTCTTGAGCGTGTCAACAATAAGGGTGCTAATAACACCACACAAAGTCATGGAAAATGAAAACATTCAAAAGATACTGAAGTAAAAAAACCAACCACGCAATCCAGTTACAAACATTCAAAAGGAGATTATCACATTTCCAAAAAGTCATTCCCATATCTGGCTTCTTACATATCCATTTGGGTATGAGCCTTCATAAACTCGATTTTCTTGAGCATGTCAACAATATGGGTGCTAATAACACCACAAAGTCATGGAAAATGAAAACATTCAAAAGAAGATTGTAAATACTAAATGAAAAAAACCAACCACGCAATCCAGTTACAAACATTCAAAAAGACATTATCATATTTCCAAAAAGTCATTCCCAAATCTTGCTTCTTACATATCCATTTTGGCATGAGCCTTTATAAACTAGATTTTCTTGAGCGTGTCAACAATAAGGGTGCTAATAACAACACAAAGTCATGGAAAATGAAAACATTCAAAAGAGACAGCTCAATACTTTTATATTCTCTTTTAAAAAGCCTTCTTAAGTATGATAAACTGAAATGTTGAGGATATGCTACATTCACATTTCACAATTTCCCTCTTTCATATAATTAGATTGTGCACCAGGAAATGCGTGGTTTTGCACTTGTGATATCAAGCAGAACTTGTCCTATTGCTGAAATTTGCTGGATTTCTTAATTCTTAATTGTTTCGTTATATATGCTCCCTTGATGTTCTCCACCTTCTTAAAATAAATGTTGGCAATTTGTATCTGGCTCAAGAGCTTGCTTTCACTTTCAACAATACATCTAAATCAAATACTGAAGAACAAGTCATAAAAGAGACGTCAGTCAAAAGAATGGGGCAGAACTACTTTCATGCAAATGGGGTTCATAGACATCCAAGTTGGCTAATTCATCAGTTCCTTCACCAACCTCGCTATGTGATCACTAACACCAATCAATTATATGGGCAAATCGAGCCCCACCTAGCCAGAGTTACAAGCAAAGGTAATAAGGACATGAAAAAGCAACTCATACCCATGAATCCCACTGAGAGCTGTCACCACAATTACCAACGTAGCCCAGAGATGCATCATAAATCTAGAGGTACACCATTAGCTCAAAGATAAACCTTATCTTGAAAGTCACAAATAGTACCACAGCTTTACTTTAAGTAAAAGGTGCCCTTACAACAACCCCCTGAATGTAGCAGACAATTTTCCAGTCAGGATAGCCTAACCAGAGAATAAAGGGAAGACATTGACTCACCAAGACCAATGTTGTATCAAAACATCATAAAAAATCATTCACTCAACTATGCTGATGTTGCATTAGCCCATCAAAACATCACAAATGGAGCCTCTCACACCAAAAAGCACCTAGAGAACTGACAGGCCTAGAGTTACTCTAGAACTGCCAGCAAACTCTACCTCTATATTTCACCTCTTCAATATACATGACTAATGACCACAAGAGAGTCACCAAATCCTAGTGCTTCCAAACTCCCAAGGAAAGACAAAGACACAGGATGATCTTTTCAGCTCCAAACCAGGGTATATAGGCTTTTCCATCTCTCTAGAAATCTTGCATGTCTTCAGCAAGAGGTGGCCCACGGTCCTGAGGCAATCTTAAAAAATGCACCATTTTGAAATCCTGATAGGGCATCGTCTACGACATCACTGACAGCACAAACGCAAAAACTAGACACGCCCCATTTTGGAATCCTGAAAGAGCAAAACCCACATCTCCACTAACACCCAGGCAAGCATAAATGCTATGTGACATGCGCATGTTGAATGGGACACTCAAGTTGAACATTCACAGCTGCTCGAAAGGTTATCGAGATGGGGGCTATGTTGATGTCACATTTGGTCCCACAAGGGTCTGCAATCCACTTTGACTGAGACGACAACCACTTTGACTGAGACGACATCCCTTCTTGAGAGGATTAAGAATATGTTTACTGATTAGTCACCCTTAGATTCCACTGATAGTCAAAGGAGATTAACGGAATGCAATCCATTTGACAAGGCAGCGACTTCCTCATGGAGAATTAGCCACCTTATTGAGTAAGTCAAAGAAGATTACTGGAATGCAATTCAATGAACAAGGCAGCGACTTCCACATGGAGAATTAGCCACCTTATTGAGAACATCATTGATTTGGGTGCGGTGCAAGTCAGCCAATTTAATTTTGTATATCCAGTCCCTCATGGTACCAATGAAACAGCCAATGAATTGCTAAGGCTACATTTAGACGACGTAAAACTTGCACTACGAAAGAGAGCTATTCATAAATATGTGACAAAGAGTTTCTTTATTTTTTTCCCTTTTTGTAATTATAAATGTTTTAGTGATGTTTTGTCAATAAAAGAACTATAAAAGGAGCTCACCGATGAATAATGGAGCAGACCAAGCTGCACCATTCGTTACTCCTAAATGGGCAGAGAGAAGAACAGTTCCATTTTATATTAAATGGTCTGTCCAAATGGGGCTTTAGAGGAAGTGCATCCCACTCTCCATTTCCTTTCTTTTTTTTCCCCCTTTGTGTTGTTCCTCAGTTTGGAGGTGCCACCTTAGCATCCTTCATCTCTGTAGTAAAATATGCTTCTTTTTATTAATAACAAACCATTACTCCCTCAAAGAATGGAGTCACCTACCTCCCTAACAAACATGCCAAAGCACCCTCCTCCCCAACGCAATTGGATGCCAAAATCACAACAGCAGGTTCCAAGTATTACATGGGCAGAACGCCAAGAACGGGTCACACTTCAGTTATGAGAATGGGCACTCCCATCACAGACAGAATCCAGAAAAAGAACCAAACTTCTTGTGCCCGTCATCATAGATAAGAAGACAATTCAATATCTCCTCAACCATAATTGATGCCACACTGAACTAGAGAGCCAGAAGTTCAGTGATAAAGAAGGCACTACAAAGGATTAAATCCCTATGTACAGCCAAGGAAACCCACAGAAGGAGCACATCTAAAACCTTAGCAGCAAAGAACTCAGACATCAACTACGCAGTCAAAAACAATGAGACCCTCCCCAACAATAAGAAATACTACTTTACTAAACCTTCCTTTTTATTATAACGAATACCACCGTTTCTGTTCAGGGCTAATCCGCTAACACCATAAATGCTACAACTCAATAAGTCTTCATTCACTAGATACTTCCCTTTCTTTTCACCTTATAGACAAATTCAGAGGAAGACAACTAGTAACTATTACACCTCTAAAACTTTGGGCAGAATAGGGATTTTATTAGAAAATTGCAATGGCATCATTGCATATGAGACCAAGAATTTTAGACAGACTCCTTCAAACCATTTAGCTCCCTCAAGTTCTATGTCTATGAGTATTTTAGCTGCACACATACTCCTTATATTGCATCCAGAGTCATTTCGATCATTTCTGCCATAATCATCTGTAAATAACACAAATGGCACTTTTGTAACCTCATTTGCCAAAATAACAGAACCATCTCGGAGAAATACGTCCCTTTTTAACATGACCACAGAGCCAGAAAGGAGTTTTCTAACTAAGCAAAAAATTCATCATCTGCCGCACAACCAACCTACTCCTGTGAGGCCACAACTTAAAAATGCAACACAAAACACCTGCCAGCCTAACATCTACCCAGCCTAAACCCTTGCTTGAGGTTGCTGAACACTGCCAAGCCAGCTCCCCTCTCCTCAGCAAACATGTATACAGATACCCAAAGCTACATCATGACTGCTCTGCTGTCATCCCTCGAGTCTAGCAACCAGTTCCTGTCATTTTCTGCTTCACTGGACATGGAAAAGTCCACCACCTTCTCTCCCCTCCATATGAGGGTGAAAGAGTCAAAACCTTCACTAAAACTAGTATCCTCCATTCCACAGATCTTCCCAATCCTAGTAATCTGGGTTCACGTACCTGGCTATCCCCCAATCCATCCCCGACATCTATTTTCCCTACTGGACCTCTGCCCACATTTCTTTCTTGTCTCACTCCCTAAGGGACTTTCCATTCTATCCATGGTGATCAGCCTCATAATATAGTATTTTAACTAGGAACAATTTCATACCAAATATCCATTTTCTATGCTGATATTATACTATTTTTTGGGCTCATGTCCCTCGTGGGCTCTGGCCATTCCAAGATATAGATGTGCTCAAGCACACACTTAATCATGAGTAGAAGCAACATATCTGACATGAGAACTGACATGCTTAAACAAAATCAAGCACCTGCAGAGGCATGCACACTGACAAAACCAGACAGCACAATTATCCAAACATAGCAAACATGAAAAACATGAGCAAGCACCTAGACACAAGATTAGAAGCAACACACAAGAGAGCAATACAGCTACAAACATAGGCATATAAGCATGAACACATGCATCAGATACTGATGGAATCATTCAATGGAGAGTAAATTAGCTGATAAACAAAATCAATGCCACCATCTACAACCACTTTACCCACACTCCAGAAAGAAGATATAACACACATTTCAACATCTTTCTTAGAACAAAGTCACAACAAACCAATCAAAATATTATGAAGAAAGCTACCAGTAAAAAAAACAAGTCACATAAGGAACTGAGGAAAAGTCAAGAGGGAAGGTCCAAACATGCATGAAATTGTTTATTCCTTCGTCAAAATCTTACCCAGTGATCTTTCTCCTCATTAGCAGGCTTCATCAAGTTCATCCAATCTGCAAAATTCTTCTTCTTTTCAGCTGGTTGGTCAGATAGCTTACTAGAATCTTTGCCCCCGCCACCAACAATATCTTTTCCGCCCATCTCTTTAAGCTGTAAACAACCAGCACAAGCATTGGAAGTGGAAGGGATTAATATTCACTAAATAATGAATTAAAAGATTTGGGAAGGCGTTCAATCAAAAAAAGGGAGAGAAATTAATATAGAAATACCCAAGAAACAGACAAAAATTTTCATTTTGGAATAGTTTTATTGGTAAGCATGCACATCCAATTACTGTTCTGAAAAAAATTAACTATGGGAACTGTTAACTTCTCAGGCTTCCAAATTTTAAGGCTTAATATTGTAATTCTGAAAAAACCATAAAAATAGAAATAAAAAGCTTGTTTTTCAGTGGATACTTCATGTGATTTATTAAAAAAAGAAAGAAAATAAAATATCCAAAACAGAGGATTCACAGAAAATGTGATAAATACAGTTTTTATTATTTCAAAGGCATCAAGAGAATCACCGAACCCAATGAAATTAAAAGTCTCTTCGTTTTCATATTTTTCTTACAAATAAGTGACTAAGACTGTATAAGTGTGCCTAACAAAATGGATAAAAGAAGAAAGCCGTCAGATTGATACATATTGCATCTCTAGTCAATCCATCCCCATAAGGAAGTTCAAATATAAAAATCTGGAGAGGAGGGGAGGGAGGGAGATAGAAAAAGAAAGAAAAGGAGAGAGGAGGGAGGGAGGGAGGGAGGGAGGGGAGGGGAGGGGGGGGGGGGACAGTCAATTATCAAAAAAATGGATGGGGGACGAGTGGTTATTCACGGAGAAAGGCTAGAAGAGCGATGCAGATGAGAGCTGATTTATGTTTACTACGGTTTTATATTTGGGTATCGAGTAATGTTTTCGGAAGAGAATCTTAAGAGGGGGATCGGGGATTAGAAGAGGGTAATAGGTATAGACAGGGATGGACGCTTTGAGGTCTGAGGCATCCGGTGGAGGAAGGGAGCAAGGAAGGACCTGACCAGGTAAAAGGATGGAATTATGATTGAGTAAGGAAAGTTTCAATGGTAAAGGGAAAAATGGCATGTGCAAACCAGGTTAGCAATGCCATTTCACCCTCAGTAAGGAAATGAGAGAAAGCCGTGTTGAAAGGCGCCGAGTAGATGAATTTGGCTACTGACAAGGTGGAAGGAAGGAGAAGTGTCACATGGGCCCATCAAGTGGGCATATGAAGAAAAAAGGGGCAGGTTTATTTTTTCCACTGTAGAAAGGGCAGGGTTTGTAATTGAACATGTTGGAAATGGAAAACAAGGAGTACCATGCTAGCCATAAGGTCAATGTTCTTGCTAATATGGTAGTGCGGGTATGTGGTAAAAGTAAAAAGGAAAGGGGGATGGCAGAAAGAGGTACAAAGGAAGCTCAATACTCTTAAAGTGGGTTCCATTGCAGGTATAGACAACAATAGGCATACATTGAGGAGCATCAATGCTAGATATCAAATGAGTAAATAGGCGACAGGGGACATCAGCACTAGCTTTGGAGGGTCTTAGGATAAGTGTGACAGACAATAACAATAATATTTAATGAAGGAAGTAAAGTTTGAGAGAGTGAAGTCAGAAAAGTGGAGTTCAGCTCCTGCATGAGTGTGATACATAAGGTGGGCTTAGAAAGAAAGAGTTTTGCGTAGGTTTAAGAGTTCTAATTAGGTTAGGATTTAGAAGTTACTTTGTAGGACACTTCGGATGCTTTGAGGTCCCCTAGATTAAGTAGCAGTGGATGAAAGAACATGTATAGAGGACAGGACTTAGGCTAGGTTTACGAGGAAAGTTTACTATGATAAGATCAACAATTAGGACTTGGTTTAAGAGTTTTAGGGTAGAAATACCTTACTGGAAATTAACAGTCCAGCAAGACACAATGATGGTTGCAAATAAATCTAGAGTTTAAACTTGAGTATGAAAGTTACTGAGAGTAGGTCTATGGTTCTATTCAACCAGCTTACTTAGGTTTTGGAGATGCACGGGTGGGATTTATGAAAGGGTTCGAATGGGGGACGAATTCAGTTGTGGATAAACCCTAGATAAGGATGTGCTATGCAAGAGGCAACCAAGCTTATGTGTGGAGAATATTCAGTCCACAAGCTAGGTTATAAGGGAACCTCCCCACCAAAAGAAGAAGAAGGGCTCTTAACATTAGAGAAGGTTCTTCCAAACCTAAGCTAGAGTTGAGAATAACTCTCTACAAAAAGTTGAGGAGTCCCTCATCTGAAGGTGGCTTCTCACTACAATTGGAAACCCATATTTTACTATTAACATTGAATACGAATTAGCCATACGCCTACATAGGTATTTATAGAAGTGGACCACCCCACCATTTTACTTAACTTAGCAAGCGACTCAAGATATTCACCTATTCCTAACTCTCCTAATTTCAATAAACTCCAGCTTCTTCCAACATCAGGCAACTAGCCCCTTTATAGTTTAGGAAACTAGGTCTCTAAAAAATAAGCAAGGCACCCTATCTGCCACACCTCTTCTAATAAAACAGAGAACCATCATCTACTTTCAAATTTAGAAAGAAGAACTTCTTAATAAAAAGTAAAAACTAAAGCTTCTGTCCTCAGCCTAAGATAACAACAATGTAAAAAAATCAGATATGGAAGATTAGGGGAAAATGAGCAAGGAGAAACTTCAGATAGTGGAGGCTGGCTCCACAGAGTGAGAAAAACCACTTGGGGGAGAAAACATGTACCAAAGAGGAATAGGGAATGAAAAAAGAGGTGGCACATACTATCTCAAAAGTGCAGGTATTCTAGCACAATGTGAGCGCATATAGACTTGCATTGCAGAAAAACATAAAAGGTGGGTACACTGAAAGGTAATTCTCAAGGCCATGATTTGCAAGGGTTTAAAGTTAACGAGATTTCCAACACTACGAAGAGAGTATGCATGTCACAATACGAAGCTAGGAAGAGGGGAAGAGAGAAGGAAGGGATGTAAGAGGAGAAAGGCATTTGGCCAACCAATACCCATTTTTGGGCAAAGAATAGGGTAGGCCAAGACAGCCATCTGGCCAATAGTTTGTTTTCTCTCTCTATTTCATTCTTTCTTTCTTTCCTGCAGAAAGAGAGTATTCCTCAGGATGGGTATTTCTTTCTTTCTTTCTTTTCTGTTAGTTCTATAAGATGTTCAATCACAGATCCATCACCTATCCTGAGGTGGGGCGAAAAGGGAAAGGAAAAGGGAGACAAGAGAAGTGAATGTCATTCATCATAAGGAGTTGATGGTTTCCAGGAACAAGGATTGATCAACAGAATTGATGAGACCATGAAAGATTACAAGTTTACTCATGAGTCATGACAACAGGCACATAATTTAATCTGGTAATGCTAAGCCATGAAGGGGCAAGAGAGGAGAGGAACACAAATGAACGAAAACCTAATTCAAGTAAAGAAGAGGAAAATGATTGAGAAGTTGAAAATGCCGCTCAATGATGAAAATGAAAGGGCCAAAGAGAAGGGGGATAGGACAGCGAGGAATAATCCAAAAATACAGAAGGATGCCAAAGCCTCCTAAAAAAATTTGGGAATCCGAATATAAAATGGTGAAAGGCAATTGTGATCAGAATATAAAGAATCCATGCTTATGTCTCAGGTAAAGTCCAAAGCCCTAGCAAAATAGATCCAGGCAATGGGTAGCGCCCAAATGAGCATAGCCCTTGACGTTCGCAATGCTTGAAAAGCATGCACCATGCACCTTGAGAACTAAGGCAAATGTGTCGTAGAATTAAGCTCATTTTAATCTTTTGTTTGTCTTACCCTGGGGGAGGGTGGGGGCAGGAAGAAGTTCTAATGATTAAAAAATAGAAACAAGGCAAGGTTTTATTGAGAGAAGATTTAGGACATAATAAAGAATTTTCACTCACAAACCTGAATTATCATTGCTATAAACACACACACACACAAACCTGAAATTATTGTTGATATACAAACACACACACACACTCACACATACAAACCTGTACAGTGGCAGCTGTCACTGTGTCCAATATGGTGTTTGTTGTGTAGCTGTTTGATTGCAACCTTATGCGTCTTGGTTCAATGTCAACAGAGCTCTTGGCCCAAAAGGTATAGTTAGAGGAATCGGCCTGCACAGGAAATATTCAGGTATAAGAAACTCAATTTATATAACGATGGAAATGTTCCCAAAAGCTAAAATTTCAGTGACTTACTTCCCATCTTGTAATTGTCTCAAGTGGATATATTCTTAATGTCCTACTAGTAGTTGGGTCAAGCATACGAATTCCATCCAGGCCAATCTGTAGAAATAGAAAATAACAAACATGAGTTACACATATTCATCAAAAAGGCCAAACAAGGAAATCGAACAAATGATAACAAAATGTCTCCATAAGAGTTAATCAGCGAGGAACATCAAAATTAGCAAAAAATGGTTAAACCCAGAAATCCAATTATCAAAAACTTAGAAATCACAAGAAGCATAACCTCAGAACTATTTAATGAATTTATATTCTTCCACTTTATGAGCTTTCAGTGATTCATCACCTTTTAGCAGGTGAGGGGGGGGGAAAGACTACTAAGACAACCATGGCAAATCATCAAAACACATGCTCATCTATAACAGATTTTGTGCTATCCTCTTAGAAATACAAATCGACCCAAACATGTATTTAGGCTCAGCAAAATAGATTCCAATGGGATGAACGTACCAAACTTTCCCCATAATTCAAATGCCAGCTAAAGTTTGGTTATAATTCCGCTATCTTAGTACGGAATAGAGCAGTTCAATGAAACTCCCACAATTACATTTCAGAAAAAAATCAAATATTGAAGCATTGAAATGATGAACGTGGGTTACATGTATTTCCCAGCGGCTAGAATGGTCTTCGTAGCAAATTGATTTTTCCCCTTTATGGTAAATCACAACACACAAATTTAATACAATACAAATCAAGGTCGTGGGAGAAGTTAAGGACAAGGTCATGGGAGGGGGGAATCATCACACACCAAAAAGGAAACTCTTATCACATGCTCTCTAAGAATGATTTGGAGCTTTACAGATATGATGGAAGGTGATGGCGAGACTTTCCTCAACAAAGTTCCTATGTGTGGCGAGACTTTCCTCACCACACTTGAGCACTTCATAAACATTCCTAGACATTGATTCAAAAAGCGGCCCGCCTAGAGCCTAGGCAGGCCAGGGGCCTAGGCATATCGCCCATGCCTAGGAGGGCATCCTGGGCGGGGAGTCCTTGGGCGGCCGCTTAGGAGCCTGGGACCCCACCTAGGCGGGTGCCCAGCCCTACACATGGGCTAAAATTAGGGGTGAGAATGGGCCGGATCGGGTCTAGATCCGGGTGGATCCGGATCCAAATAGTATACATCGGATCTGAATTACTATATATACTATTTAAAAAAAATTATATATATAAAATAAAAAGGATGCGGTTTGTATAGAGCCTAGGCTCTAAACAATCAAATTAGAGCCTACCTTCAAATAGTGTCCAAAAATGTGGCTTCAATACTGAAAATCATTGTGATAGCCTTAAAATATATTTTCATCATTATTTATAAAGTTTAAAGCTTAAAAAATAGTATAGATCGATAGATCTATGAAACCTTGAAAATCTTGAAAATTGATAGTCTAAAAATGCGTAACAAAATACACTATTTCCAGTACTTGAAATCCATTTTTTTCTCATGTCCATGCATCTTGATGTCGAGATGATAAATTTGACCATCTTTGGGAATCAAAACAACCTCTTCTAGTGAAAGTTCTGAGGTAGGCTCTAATTTGATTGCTTAGAGCCTAGGCTCTATATAAACTTTTTCCAAATAAAAATATCCTATTTAAAAAAACTGGGTGGGATCTGGATCTAGATCCGATCCGGATTTCAATTCGGACCTGACTTTTGGGTCCAGATTTGGGATCCAAATTTGGGGTTCGAAGCCGGATCTGAATAGGGTCTAAATTCCGGGTTTCGGATCCGGATTAGGTCAATTCTCACCCAAGCGAAAATGCCCCTCGTTGAGTGGCATTTTTTGCCTTGTTTACACCTAAATTAGGGAAAGAAGGGGGGAGGGGAGAGGGGGGGGTTGTGGGAGTTAGGTTAATGTGTGACCTAAACCCCCTTGTTTACCTTTATAGTGAAAAAAAATTAAAAAACAATCATTTTTTTATATTTCTAAAAGATCGATCAAGTACTTTAGAGTATGGAAAAATCGATCCAAACATCATTTTGGTTTGGATTTGATTTTGATAATTTTTTAAGCTTATTAGAGGTAGAAGTATATGGGATTGGGAAAGATCTCAAGCATTGAAGATTGAAGATCGAGCAAAAAAATTAGTTAAAAATCTTCATATTGGATATTTAGTTTTTTGTTTCAATGTCTTCTTCGAGTTCTTCTAGAAGTGGTGATCCGGGTTGGAAGTATGGTTATAACCCAAATCCGAATGACAAAAATCGTATAAGATAAAATTATTGCAAAAAAGATACCAATAGGGGGTTCAAAAAACACCCTACCGATATTAGAGGGAATGTTTCCCTACGTAAAAATGTTCCTGAAGCTATCAAAGAGGAGATTGAGCCATTTATGTGTTCGATAAAAAACAAACAGGAACAAAAGCCTTGTCACTTGAATAAGTCTATTTCTGGTTCTTCGAAGAGTTGTGATCCAGGTTGGAAGTATGGTTATAACCTAAAACCAAATGAAAAAAATTATATAACGTGTAATTTTGTGAAAAAAATTACTAATGGGGTATTAACCAATTTAAGAAACACCTAGCCAGTATTAAAGGGAATGTTGCTTTTGTAAAAAAGTTCTTGAAGCTATTAGGAATGAGATTAGACAATATTTGAATTTAACCAAAAAAGGAAGAAAAAGGAGCCTTGTTATATGGAAATATCTTCTCTAGGTTCTTCTAGAAGTGGTGATCCGGGTTGGAAGTATGGTCATTAGGCCGAATCTGAGTGACTAATTGTATAAGATGTAATTATTGTGGAAAGGACACTAATGGGGGTATTTACTGGTTCAAGAAACGCCTTGCCAGCATTAAGGGGGACGTGGCCCCGTGTAAAAATATTCCTGAAACTACCAAGGAGGCAATTAAGCAATATTTGAGTTTAGTGAAACACAAAAAGCAAGAGCCAAGAGTCCTAGGGCCTCATCTGCACAAAGTAAGAGGGAGATAGACGTAGAGGAGGAAGTGGCAGATTCAAAAGAAACAAAGGAGGACGAGCGATATGTCGAAGACAGAGATAATTGTGATGATGATTGCCTCGAATCTGATGCATATGATGAAGCTTACTCTACTTTTTTTTATGATGACTGAAGACACTTGACTCTTGGTGTTGGGTCTTAAACTGTATATTTTATTTTTCTAATTTTCTAGTTTCTACTATCTACTCTTATGTGTATCAGTGTATGCATGTATGGTTGTATCATTGTATGAAATATGGATTATGGAATGATATGAACTATGGAGCATGGAATATGGTCAATGGATTGTGTATGTATTACTAATTTATTAATTACTATTATATTTTATTCTTGTTCGTGCTAGTAGTCTATCTATTACGAATATACAATATTTTGGAACTTTTTGGATTATGGGATTTTTAATATTTTATGATGTATTCTCACATTCCTTTGCCCCTCTTATACAGCCTAGGCTGCCTAGGCACTGGGCAGCGAAGACCCCACTGGCAGCCTAGGCGTCGGCCGTCAGTTTCTGTAACACTGAAGTGTCCTAAGAAGGGAAGCTAAAGATGGTTCTTCTTAAAACCTATCATCCATAATTTGGTCCCTTGATTCCACAACTGCTTCAGGGTTCCACATCTACCAAGTCTTTCCAAGAAATTTTGTTTCTTCGCTTTCCTCTGGCTTTGGGCAATCAGCACGAAGCATCTCCAGTAACACAAAAGCTCCTCCTTACCACCACTCTTTCAGCTTGTTCCTAGGGTTGCAGTTTTATCCTTCACCTGATGAGCATCACCTCATGAAAAGATGCCTAAAATCTAGACTGACCTAACGCCCTCAAAACTATCATATAGGTGCTTCCCTCAAAGCCCTAACAACCCCTGGACATTCACTGCTCCTTTTCTTGAAAGGCCACACTTGTCTTCCCCAATCAATTCCCCTCTTATGGATCCACCTGTCTGCATTGGTTTCCTCCCTTATTTTCACTTTAGATCCTCGCAAAACCTGAAATATCTAGTCACTTATGGTGCATGGATATGCCTGTGGAAGCCACTACAACATGTGCATGACACACATTTTGGAGCTCTCCAATTATAGGTATAGACTACATTTCGAACTCATGTCAAACACTGTCTTGGGTCTCACCCAATGTGTCGCATCTGATTAAAAGCTCTTAGCATCATTTTGATTCTTGGCTGACAAAACTCCTATACCAACTTACCAAGCCGTCGACAGCATGGTTCTTTGAAAGAGGCATCTTCTTTCCCCTCCTAGCACCAACGCGCCCCCAGCACAACCATTGTACCCTGCACCACATTGCAACATCCAAAGTAGATTTCTTCTATGTATTTGATGATGGAGACGCAAAAGATGTAGTGTAAAAATAATGGCTCAGGAAAAAATAATCGTTTAAGCTCCAAACAAATTGTGACTTGATCATCTGTCGTTCAGACCACTCTATAAAGAGTCACACAAGTCAAGCCAACAGAGACCAGCTTACAAAGCAAAAGAAAACAACTTTAAAGTTGTACAACTGATAAGATAAGGTTTCAAAGTGATATATCAGATGAGGCAACAGCCACAAACAAACAGGACTGCTTGAAAAAGCTAAAGATATGAGCAAAGTGACAAATACTGGTATAAAGTATAAACTACAAAGGCAGGAATTTTATCCTGGCATGAAACAATAGCAATCCTTTCAAGCACCAAATAATGATACATAGATCCAATCATTAAAAATGTCTCCATTCATGACAGCATCAAGAAAGCACCATTTGAAGTTGAGAAAATAAGTAATGGAAATTACTATACCCACCATTCCAAATACATATTACATTTAGCATGGGATCACACACCAATCAAAGCAAGAAAAACAATATTAGGGGACAAGATCGATCTAACCTGGCAAAGCACATCCATGGCACTCTGACTCGCACCTTCAGGCAACAACTTGACTCGAAACTTCTGCACCCCATTCTTCACATCCTGCTGAGTATCAACCTTCGGGACTGCCTTTGTGATTTTCATGGAAGCCCCCAACTGATCATTCCCTGACGTAATGCTCGTAGACCTCCCATAATCATCAAAGGTTGACCATGAAGATGACTTGGACCCAGTACCAGTACCCCTGGACCCATATGGCTCAACCCTCCCCCCATCATACGCATAAACACCATCACCACCACCAATATCATCAACACGATAACTATTCCTATCTTGATGAATCCCACTCTCCGGTTTCCTTTCTAAAAACCCCTGATCGCTGCTCCTATATGGTGGTGGCCTTTCATACATCTCGCCCGCATCAAACCTGGACCGACTAGAACCGTACCAAGAAGAATTGTCAATTTTAGGAGCAACATCATATGGAGGATTGGGCACGATCGAGGGATAGGGGGTGGGATATTGGACAAGGGTTTCACGATAGGTTTCAGAGACAAAAGGCTGGGGGGGATAATGTGACGATGCATAGGGTTCGGCAACGAGAGCAGGGTGACTATAAGGAGGTTGGGACTGAGGATTTTGGATGGGGTTTGGAGGGGGGGTATAGGTTGGGTAAGAAGGATAGGTTTTATCAGAGGATGAAAGGGATTCATAATAAGAAGAGGGTGGTGGTTGGTGGAGAGGTGAGGGTGGGTAATCTGAGGATGGGATGTGAGAGAATGGAGGGGCAGAAGCAAAGGAAGATGAGGGGGGCTGAGTATGTAGCAGTAGATCAGACGGAGAGAATTGAGAATTATGGTTCTGGTTCTGGTAGTAAGAACTACCATAATCCCCCCCTCCTCCTCCTCCTTGTTGCATCATCTTCTTCGTCTTCTCTCTGCAAAATTGTGGAAATTTCAAGGGTTCGCTTAGCTAATAGACGCCTTCTCTCTGCAAAATTGTGGAAATTTCAAGGGTTGGCTTCGCTAATAGACTCGGTGGCTTCTGGCCTCCTTTCCAATCTTCTTCATGTTCTTCCTCTGGTCTAGGTCGTCTGTCTTTTCCAACTTTCAGCGGTGGGTCGGTGTGCATATCCCAAGACTTATAGAGCAAAAATGCCTCGAAACTTTGATTTCTTTTTAACCCAAACTTTGAAACCTAACTTCTCACCCCCCTTAATTAACTTTTTTTATTTTTATACTAACTTTTAATCCAAACAAATAAAAAAAGACACATTTTTTTAACTCTCTCCTCACATATTTCAATCTCTCACGTGTTTCCCTCTCTAGACTGTCCACTTTCTCTGCTTTTCGATTTTTCGACAAAGTCTCGACATTCGTCTATGAAAACCTCAAGGCCTGAACCTCTTGAGAAACAATCATAGTTTTTCAACTGCTGGAACATTTTCCAACGAGTCAAGCTTTAAAGTTTAAGAGCCTGAACCTCTCAATAAACTTCTTTTAATAACTCTCTCTCCTAACTTATTTCAATCTCTCTCCATGTAGCGAGAGAGATGGGTTTTCCTTTGAGTTGGTATTCTTCTTTCCACCAGCTACTTTCTTTCTCCTATTCTCTACTTCATTATCTCTACATTCCTTTCCAAAATCCTCTTCTAAGACCGCAAAACTTGTTGACGTTTTCTCTATACTCAAAAAATACTCAAATTTCAATCATGTCTCCTAAATACATGTCTTCTTTCTTACTCTAGGACTCTCCGGAGACCCATTTCACATAGGCAAGATCCCTTGGTTTCTATATGAATTTTGGTCCTTGCCATTTGAACCAGGCTATCACATAGGCAAGATCCCTTGGTTTCTATATAAATTTTGGTCCTTGCCATTTGAACCAGGCTAGATTGGTTTTCGACCATGTCTAGAACAAGAGCACATATTTTTAGAATTCCATGATCAATTCATATTCCAATGGTCCTTCACCTATAGAAGCTCTCTCTCTCTATCTATCTACATTCAAATGCCCAGAGAAGCTGCAAAACCCAATAAATTCATGTTTCCTTCTCTTTTAAAGGCCTGCAATCTTCGGTCGTCTCCCCTAGAAGGCAAATAGATTCATTGTCGAGTTATAAAGCTAGAGAGGGTTGGATGGGTTCATTCAAAGTACTCTCATTGACATATATGCCAATGCTGGGTGCTTGGATTATTCAAGCCAAGTTTTTTATGAAAGTTCTCAATTTAATGTAGTCTGTTGTACTGTCATGATTAAGGGGTACATTCGATTTGGAAGCTTAGACAAAGCGGGCCAACTGTTCATTGAAATGGTGGAGAGATGTTATTTCTTGGAATGCCATGATTTCTAGTTATGTTCAAATGGGTAGACATAAAGAAGCTTTCTCTCTCTTTCATGAAATGCAGCTCAAAAACATCAAACCCAACCAGGCAATACTTGCAGCCGTGCTTTTGATGTCGTCTTCGTTGTGTTCTCTCTATCTAGGCCGGTGGATCCATGCTTACATGATAAAATCTAGGGTTTCAAGGAATCCGGAGCTCTCTACTTCAATGGTTGACATGTATTCAAAATGTGAGGCATTGGAAATGGCTATGAAATTATTTAGAAAGATCCTCACAAAATATGTTGGTTCATGGAATGTCATGATCTCTGGCTTGGCCATGCCCAAGAAGCCATTGAACTCTTTCATGAGATATAGAGAGACAAGGGTTTGTGAGGATGATCGGGGGAGAGACAAAGGGAACCATCCAGAAAGAGTAGTCTAGAAAAACAATGTTTTTTTTAAATTTATTTGGGTCAAAAAAGTTAATAAAAAATGAATAAAATATGCTTAAGGGGCTATGAGATATAAAAAATTGTAAATTTCGACGTAGTTTTGCATCCTTAAGTCTACACATATATTTTCCCATTTATTTATGTGTTTTTAGAGCTAGAGAGAGACCGACACACATCACGTAGCTTCCAACTCAAGGCTAAGTATTGTATTATTATTATGCGATGTCAAAGAGAATATTGAGGTTTGAAATGGAAATGCCCATTTTTTGTCACATTTAGCTTGCCCAAGAAAAAATAGAAAAGAAAAAATAAAAAAAATGAGAAGTCGCCAATCTAATAAATCACAATAGGTCTCAATGAAAAATAAGCACAGAAAGCACCCCACATTGGATTGAGATTGAATGATCACCAATCTAGATCTAGATATTCAAAGCCTCTTACAAGATTTCAAGCAAAAACATGTAAATTTTTTTATTTTTTCCAACAATAAATCAAATAAGCCAAACAATAGTTGAATATAGGTACTTGGGCTAACAAAGCAGATCGATGGCTGGATTCTCCTTTGATATAAAAAATAAAAATAAAATAAAAAATAAAAATAATAAAAAAGAACAAAAAATGGAGTCTCAATAGAGAGAGAGCAAGGATTCCCCGAATGATCTCTCTCTCTAAGAAATTTCATCTTTTAACTAAGAACTGGGTTATAGAGAGAGAAGATAAGTCCCACATTTTAGGTTTTGGATGTGGAGGTATGTCTCTTACTTGAAATAAATTATATATTTGCCTATATAGATAAGGGATAGGTACATGAAAGTATCACATCCATTGTACACTCCTAAAAATTATTTTCATTTTTAAACCTCAAAATAAGTCCATCTTTTATCTAAAATTTCGGCGTCCTAGTCTTTCTCAAAATATTTTTCTCATTTCTTCCAAACCTCCTAAAATTTAAATTTTAGAGAAAGAAAGTATTTTAAAATTTTAGAAAGATAAACTATATCAAATTTTAAAGAGAGAAATTATTAAAAAAATTTAGAGTGATAAACTATCTCAAATTTTAGAGAGAGAAATTAATTTAAATTTCAAGTTTTAGAGAGAGAAAGTATCTTAAAATTTTAGAAAGAGAAATTATATCAAATTTTAGAGAGAGAAATTACTTGAAATTTTTTAGAGAGAGAAGCCTTCTCAAAAATTTTAGAAAGACATTAAATCAAATTGTAAGTTTTAGATAGACTAGTTGGATTCTGTATGTTCGACATAAGAATGAAATATAAAAACATATAAAAATAATAATAATTTAAAAATCTTTAGTAAAAATATATATATTATATTAAGGGGTGAACATGTGTCACGAAAATAAGAAGAGACCCTAATTCTACAAAGGTTATGGGAGACATTCCCACTTTTATTGGGAGATAAAGACTTTTTTTTGGAGAGAGGAGATATTCCTACCTTTATTGGGAGATGAAGACTTTTTTTGGAGAGAGAGATACATCTCTTATCATGAAATTAGTGTGGGGAACATAGAGACTTTTTTAAGAGAGAGACATATTTTCTCCTAAAATTGGTATGGGGAAGAGAGAAACTTTCTGAAAAGAGACGTGTCCCACCTTTAAGGAAAGAGAGAGACTAAAGAAATTTAGTGCATGGAAGAGAGAAAAAAAAAACATCTTTTCTCCTAAAATTAGTGCATGGTACAAATTAAACCTTTAAGGGAAGAGAGAGTGCAAATCTTTTTGAAGAGAGAGAAAGTATGCATATGAGTACTTATCCCAAACTCAAATTTAAGGTAGAGAAAGATATGCATACATATCAAAGATGGTTTGTGTGAAGAGTAGAGATTTTAGGAAGAAATAGAGAAAAAGTAGAGATTTTAGGAAGAAATAGAGAAAAAGTAGAGATTTTAGGAAGAGAGAGACTGTTTCGGCATTTTAATTTGAGAAATAGGAGATCTTAAAGTAGAGATTTTAGGAAGAGAGATAGATTGTTTTCATATTTGAATTTGAGAAATAGGAGAATTTTTCTTCCTTATTTTTTGGTTCAAAGAACCTATCCCCAACTCAATTTCATGAGAGAGAAAGATATGCATACATATTCCCCAAGTCATTTGCTCATATAAACTATATTAGATTCTACCAATCTTTTGTTATCTTTTCTCTATTTTTGTTGCATAGGTCTTGCTTACTCTCACTTAAATACGAGTCTTTTGCATTTTTCATGGTATCAATATTTGTGGCATTTTTAGTTATTAGTGTTTTTTCCATATGGCAGGATTCATTAGTTTTAGTGTGATTCTCTATTATTTTTGTTATGGATTCATGCAAGTGAGAGTCTATGTTTACAGAAATTTAATATTTGACAAAATGATAAAAAATATAAAAAACATATTACAAATAGATATATTATTTTTTGGGAATTTTTGTATTTTTTATTTTTGAAAATATCCCCAAGTTGGGCAAAAATATTTTTCAATCTTTGCCAAAATGATAGAAAACGTAAAAAAAACATATTACAAATAAATTCCTTATTTTTTGGGTTTTTTTATATTTTTTAAATTCTATTCAATATCCTCAAATAGCTTCTCGATCACATGAATAAAAAATGGTCATTCTTTGCTCTCTAAAGGTATGAGGTAGTAGTAATAAAATAATGAAATAAAATTTTTTTTCATTGTTTGCCATAATAGTTAATAAAATTATTGATAAAACTACTGACCAATTACTTAATTTGTAATGGTCCCGGCATGCACCCATACAAAAAATCATTGGAATTGGCCTCATGCATGCATTCTTCTTCCCTTTTTTTTTTTTGTCGTTATCGTGCATGTCGTGCTTCTATCAAAGCAAATAACAAATGTTCATTTTTATGTCATGTAATATTTTTCTACATCAATAGAAATTTCCCCATGAATGCATGTAATGTTTTTTTTTTTAACTTTTTATATTTATGCTGAAAGATGAACTTAATTTTTAGAACTTAAAATTTTTAGAAAAGGGAAATGTGTATATGAAGATTTAAAACATTAAAACTTCAAATTTAAGAATATAAAAGAACTAAAGCTGGTTTCTATATTTGTAATAGATAGTACACATTTTATTTGGGATTCTTAAAAACTCAAAATTTTCAATTGGCATTTATCTAGCAAACGTTGTGCTTAATATTTAAAAATTATCCATAAAATACATATTCATAAATATAGAGTTAGTTTCCTTTTCTTTTTTTTCTAGAATATACTTCATTTCAAATACTTGAAAAATTGTGTAAATGTCTTTTTTTTTTTTGAATCGAACCACTAAGAAGTGGGGTCACATATGTCGTTGAGGTCACATAGAAACATTTCAGCATTTTTTGACATCTATTATCTCTTTAAATATGTGA